AATGCCAAGGCCACTGGGCACAACCAGTCATGAAGCACTTGAAATTCAGTTAACAGTTAAGGAGCTCAGATGTATGGAAGGATTGAGGTGTAGCTCAGCAGCAGAACATGAGCTTAATATTTGCATGTGTAAGGCACTGGGTTCAATCTCCAGCAACTAAAAAGAAAAAAGAAAAAGAACCCACTGGATTTTGAATACTTAGCATGAAAAAAGGAATGTAAAGTACCTTATTAGTTTTATATTGACAATGAGTTAAAATGATGATCATCTGCATATATGTTTGGTTAAGCAAAATATATTATTAAAATGACTTTAACTGTTTCTCTTCTTTTAATGAGGTTCCTAGGACTTTCTCAGCTCAGAGGAAGTCACATTTACTTGGACAGTGCTAGTCTAGACATCAGCTCTGACATAAACTCTGGGATCCGGACCTCTGCTTCCTTTCTGCTAGTTGGTGGATACTGGGCAGGTTTCTCTTTTCCAGTTGTGCCTTCCTTCCTCTTAGGTCCAAGGGGGATCAAAGCATCCACCATCCCATCCATAGCCAGGGGAAGGTCCCACAGTAACACCTAAATGAGCTGCCACAGTTCCTGACTCCTAACACTGGCTTCCAGGTCCCAGAGGGTCATGCCAAGTTCCATCTAATCCCTGGGGTTACAAAGATGCACTCTGAAACATTTTCCGGCTAGAAGTATCCCCAACACAGGCCTTGAAGAACCAAGTTCATGTCTCAGCTTGCTCCTACCTATGTGATATTGGGCAAGTCACATTCTAGTCATGCTTCAGCCTACAGTGGCCCTTGTTGACTTTGGGATCCCATAGAAGTCATTAATGTATGTCTGGTGCCCATGGTGGCCAGAGAAGCATTAGATCCCCTGGAACTAGAATTATAGTTGGCTGTGAGTCATCATGTGGATGCTGGGAACTGAACCCATGTCCTCTGCAAAAGCAGCAAGTATTCCTAACTGTTGAGGCATCTCTCCAACCCATAGCTTTTGTTTTAAAAGCTTCATATTGAGCCAGACATGGTGGAAGGTGGATCTCTGAGTTCAAGGCCAGCCTGCTCCACATAGTGAGTTCCAGGCCAGCTGGAACAGAGCCAGGCGTGGTGGTACACGCCTTTAATCCCAGGTCTCGGGAGGGAGAGGCAGGCGGATCTCTGTGAGTTCAAGGCCAGCCTGGTCTACATAGTGAGTTCTAGGCCAGCCGGGGATGTAGGGAGACCCTGTCTCAAAAGAGACCCCCCCAAAAAACACATCGTCATTTCAAAAGGTGCAGAAAAAGCCTTTGAGAAAATTCAACATGCATTCATGATAAAACTCCTAAAGGGAATTGGAACAGAAGGAACATACCTCAACACATTTAAAAGCTATATACAACAAACCCACAGCCAACATCCTTCTAAGCGGAAAAAAACTGTTGACATTTCAAAAGTTTTTTTTTAATATTTTATCTATTATTTTTATTTTATGTATATGAGTGTATTCCCTGCATGTATGTGAGTGCACCCGTGTTGTACAATGCACACAGAGGTCAGAAGAGGGCTTCGGATTCCCCTGGGACTGGAGTTAAGAATGGTTTGAAGCCGCCACGTGGGTGCTGGGAATCGAACCCGAGACCTCTGCAAGAGCAGTCAGTGCTCTTAACCGCTGAGCCATCTCTCCAGTCCCGATTTCAAAAGTTTTTTGATGACCTAAGAACCTCAAAGCAAAACCAAAAAAATCAAACACGGCTGGAGAGATGACTCAGCAGTTAAGAGCACTAGGTGCTCTTACAGAAGATCTGGATTTGGTTTACAGCACCCACATGGCAATTAATAACCATCCATAACCTCATTTCCAGGAAATTTGATGCCCTCTTCTGTGGGCACTGCACAACACAGGTGCACTTACATACATGCAAAATACTCATACACATAAAATAAAAATAAAGAAATTTTTTTTTTATCAGAAACAGGTCAAGTCTCTTACCATCTTTGAGAATCCCTGGAATGCACCCCAACTTTGCAGAAGGACTCATCCGCAGCAGGCGCTGCAACTGTTTAGGCCAACCATACCTCACAGTCCTGCTGTCTTATAGGGATTCGACTGTCAGATGAGACACTTGTGTAGCTCCCAAAGCCCCCAGGGCCTCTGGTATCCTGGGACCCCACTGACAACTTGTAAGGACCACCTGGACTAGCCTCTCCTTCTCCAGGTCAGATAGCTGGACCCACAGAATGACAGGACTTCGGTCAGTCAGCCTAACAGACCCCATTGGTGAAGTCCATGGTTTGAAGGTGAGGCCCAGTTTTGACTTGAAGGACAATGGTACTGAGGGACAAGACAGATCCTGAGGACAAAGTGGAGCAGGGGAACATCACACTGGAAGCAGGAGATAAGATCCAAGTCAGGGACAGATATTTATCGGCAAGGGTCCTGAGGGTAAGTAGGAAGCAGGGGCCACAGTTTTTGGCTTTGGGCAACAGCGCACTCCAATGCGACAACCCACTTGTCTCCACTGAATCCGTCCACAAAGCTCCACGAGCAGCTGCTTGTTTCCCTGTCATCACTGGTTCATGCTAGGGGTGTTCTGCCAGGCCCCTTAGGGGATCGGATGACCTGATGGCCTGGTTCAGGGTGGCAGTAATCAAAGGCATGCTTCCAAATGGGCAGGGGTCCAAGAGGGGAGGCAGCCAGTCACCAGCCTCAGGAACCAAGGCAGCCTGCCAACACAAAGGGCTGAATGCACTGATACCAGAGGCTAGCCAGATCCCTCCCTGTACAAAGGATGCCACCCTGGGGGAGGCTGATGGCAGGCAGAGACCTGGATACAGGTGGCAGTCACTGGCATCACCTCAGTGAACAGGTGCTTGACACCTGAAGAAGAGGGGACGGGAGCTCAGTGCAGAGACTGCCCACCAGCTAGCTAGTAAGCCAGGACTAAGACCAGTGGCCAGACCTGAAATATCTGCCTAGGGGCTGGCAGAAGGAGCAAGGCCTTCCAAAGGAGTCAGGAAGGCAAGATGCTCCCCTAGTCCATCGGAGGGAGGGCTAAGGAATGTTCTAAATAAGAAGAATGTTCCTAACCCAAGTGCATAGGTGACACAAGGTAGCGAATCAGTCTAATCAGGGCAGAACCCCTTGCTAGAGAAAGCCCAAGACAGGTAGCTTTCTAGAAAGAAAATAGTTGGGCCGCTCCTCAAAACATTAAACAGCATTACCATCTCATCCAGCAAGTCTCTTTCTAGGTATATACCAAAGAATTTTTTTTAGTTTTTGCTTTTATTTGGTTAGAGGTTTCATTGAACACCTCTAAGAACCTGGCAAACAGCCATCTGTTTATTATCTTGTATGTTCTAACTGTTCCATGTGAAATGCTGTGGAAACTGAGGTGCAGATATGGTACTGTCTAAAGAATCACTAGCCACCTGGGAGACAAACTGCATTCAAAAGATCTTGTTCTCTTTACAGAAAATGCTGATTGATGTGTGGGCACAGTAATTGGGCCCACCACACTTTTAGGGCCCCATGATAATTTAGTCTTAAAATCTAAAGAAATGACAATGAACTTACTTTTTCCTTCTTTCCTTCCTTTTTTTATTAATTTATTATTTGACAGTTTCACGTGTGGATATAACACATTGAGGCCATACTTACGCTCCACCCTCTCTTATTCTCTCCCCCTCCAACTCCCTCCCACCAAATCTCCACCCCACCTTCATGTCTTTTTGTTTTGTTTGACCAAAGAATTAAAAACTGGGACATAAACAGATACTTACATACCAGTGTATCTGCATCCTTCCTGAAGCCTTTATCGTATCAGTAAAAGAATAAAAAGCAAAGTCCAGGGATGTAGCTCAGTGGTAGAATACTTGCTTAGCATGCATGATGACTTGGGTTTGAGTCCCAGTATCCTCCCCCCAAACACACAAAAGTGAAAAAAGCAGAGGGACTGGAGAGCAGATGACAGCAGACCAAGCTGTCGTATCCACCTCTGAACACTGGCTGGCAGATCTCAATGGTGGGCACTGGCTTGACCGGCCGGAGAAAGCTGGCATTCACTTTCCCATAGGTAGCAAAGCCAGCAGGAAAGTTGTCATCTGTGAGCTGCTGGTGACAAGTGGTGACAAGTAGGTCCATAGTCTCTGAAGACTGATTTTGTGTATGTTTTCATGCTAATTACTCATTAGTACTGTCTGAGAATATCCAAGCAAAACTGCCTGGGGAAACTATAATTTCTCTGCACTGACTTTTTAAATAATTTATTGAGAATTTCATACATGCATATAAGGTGTTTTGATCAAATCCATGCCCACTCCCTCCCCTCCAACTCCTCCCATACCTCCCCATCACTTTTTTCTGATAACTTCATGTACTCTTTCTCCTTTTAATTTTTTTTATGGGGTTTTTGCTATTCTACCATTCTCTCCTCTGAAGAGGTAACCCTAAAATCTTTTAAGGATTAGATAAAAGCTCCCAAATACTTTCGGCAGTTTTGGCCTTTGGAACAGAGTATGTTGCTAAGAGGCCCAGGGACATTGTGAGTTTTAGCCAAGAAACTGGCTACTTTTCTTTGGGGTCTTTTTACCCTAACTGCCTAGCCAATTCCTGCCTCTTATTCTTATCACACCATCCTTTGAAGAGGTTACCCAACTTACAGATAGGAAATCGGGATGCAGACTACTCTGGCTTCTTCCATGCTGAACAGGGACACAGGGTGAGGCAATTAGGGTACCCCTTCAATGGGTCTATCTAAAAGACTCCCAAATTGTATCACTCTTGTCTCTAAGGGGAAAAGAAAGTCCTTGAATCATGAATAGGAGATGTGAAGGAGAAGTAAAGGCAAGAGTACTTAGCATTACAAGTTCTAGACAGGGAACTAGAAAAAAGTCAGAACAGGGCAATTTTCAAATGTTCATTTGAAAGTCCATTGGAATTTCTTGACAAGGGCTTCCAAAAGCATCTCTCTATTGGGTTCCTCCTCGTTTTTCTTTTGTCTTCCAAGGCTGGACTCAAGAATGATGGATTCAGGATTTGCTTTCAGGCATTTTGATAGCTGTTGGAGTGGTTAGAATCAGTGTCAGTTCCCTCTCAAAGGCTTCAAGATAACTGAGGGATTGCTGAGGTGTATGAATGATCTAAGGGTATGTACACTGGAAAGCCTTTACCCAGCATGGGCCAAGTCTTCTCTTCCTAGCCTTCCCCTCTCTGCGCCAACTTTTAAGTCCCTTTTCCCCTTTACTACAGCTGTTCCCCCTGGAGTAAAGGGTTCAAAGCCTCCAACACTGTGAGCACAGAGCAGAGACTTCAATTTGCCTTGTAGGTAAAGTCCCAACATAGCCTACCTATGAATTCAGTCCCCCACCCCCACCCCACCCCTGTCTGTCCCAGACATAGCATTCAGGAATCCAGGGGTCAAGAGTTAGTGAAGCAAGGACATGGGACTCACATCCCTTCCTTCACCACAAGGCACATGCAAGACAGGTGACAAACTTCTCTTCTGTAACAGAGCAGACTTAACATGTCCCCACAGCTGCTCAAAGAGGAGGTGGACTTCCAGTGAGAACACTGGGCACAGCAGGGACAGACACTGGCCTACACACCAGCCAACACCAGCCAACACTCACACAGCCCTCTTCTTCCTGAAGGCGGAAGCTTGCTTTAATCACAGGTCAGTGAGCTGTGAATGTAACTCAGCATTTAGAAAGCTCTGGGCTCGATCCCTGCAACTGCAGAAATTGGACATTTTTGTGCCAGGGATATATAAGACACTATCTCAAAAAAGAAAAGTCAGGTGTAGTGGCGCACGCCTTTATTCCCAGCACTTGGGAGGCAGAGGCAGGCAGATGTCTGTGAGTTCAAGGCCAGCCTGGTCTACATGGTGAGTTCCAGGCCAGCTGGGGCTACAGGGAGACCCTGCTTCAAAAAGACCAAAAAAAGAAGAAAAAGGAAAAAGACAAAGTCAATGGGCTGCAGACCACTGCCACTTGACAATCATGGAGGGCTTCAAAGGGTGTGCCTTGGGGAGAATGAGAATCCCCTGTCTTTGTCATCAGAGCCAAGTTTGTCTTAACCATCTTCACACATACTGCCCCCCAGGACCCCAAGCCTGTCTATCTCCTCTGAGTCTTCTCTCCTCAGAACATTCCATCCCCATGCTCTGCCCCCATGCTGTCCCAAAGCCAGGCTCCTCCAGGGTCAGAACTGCCCAGTTCATCTTTCTGTCATGAGCACCTAGCCCAAGCTTAGTACCTGTGATGGCTTGAACGGTTTCCCCAGGTTCACAGTCATGTCTTAACCTTCAGTGCCTCGGAAGGTGACCATATATGGAAGCAAGGTCTTTAAAGAGAAAACAGTTAAGATGAGGACATCAGGGTGGCCCTAATCCAACAAGACCAGTTCATGAAATGATGAGGACACACATCAACACCCAGGAAGAACCAGGAGGGCACAGCAGGTGGCAGGCTACGTGTAAGCCATGGGGAATAACTCCAAGCTGCCCAGTGTTGCCAGTATCCTGAACTGGGGTTGTGGAAAGATAAATTGGTGTAGCTCAGGCCAACCAGCTTATAGCCCGCACCTAAGGAGGCAACAAATGGGCAAAGGGTAGAGGATGGGGTTGTGGAGGGTGCTCAGACCCAGCTCTTCAGAACTTCATTTGACTGACAGGCCAGGGCTCATCTCTGTCCTGTGGGACACTTCTGCTCCCCTTTTCCCCCATTTGCTGAAATATCAAAGGGAACTCCAAGAACAAAACACTTTCTGATTTTACTGTAAAAATGCATCCTTGGAGGCAGGGAAGGGAGGGGAGTGGCGCACGCCTTTAATCCCAGCACTCGGGAGGCAGAGGCAGACAGATCTCTGTAAATTCAAAATCAGCCTGGTCTATATGTTGAGTTCCAAGACAGCTGGGGCTACAGGAGACCTTGTCTCAAAAAAAAGAAAAGGGAAAGGAAGGGGGGAGGGGGAGGGGAGGGACAGAGGGTTGGTTAAATTGCACAACAGAAAACCTAAGTCTCCAAGCATAACTGGCCCTATGGCTGCATGTGATCTCTCCTCTCCTGGCCAGAAGGTAGCCCAGCATTCTGCACCGTTATGCCAGAATCGGCAGATAATGGAAGAAAGGGAAAGGGAAAGGGAAAGGGGAAGGGGAAGGGGAAGGGGAAGGGGAGGGGAGGGAAGGAAAGGAAAAGATAAAGCATCCTTGGGCCAGTGAGATGGCTCAGCAGGTACAGGTTCTTGCCACCAAGCCTGAACACCTGAGTTCAATCCCTGGGACCCATGTGGTGGAAGAAGGGAACTGACTCCTACAAGCTGTCCTCTGACCTCCAGGGCACATCCACACATATCCATAAAGTAAATAAAGGCATGTAATTTTAAAAATGCATCCTTGCCAGGTGTGGTGGCACACACTTGTAATTCCAGCACTTGGGAGGTAGAAGCAGAAGGATCAGAAGTTCAAGGTCAGCCTCAACTACACAGTGAGTTTGAGGACAGTAGGACTACATGAGACCTACCCCCAAAATATATATAAAATAAAAATGCACATGTATGGCAGCACAAGTCTATAATCCCAGCACTTTCAAGACTGAGGCAGTTCAAACGAGTTAAGGTCAGCCTAGACTACATAGCAAGTTCAAGTTCAGCCTGGGTTACATGGTAAGACCTTGTTTCAAAAAAAAGGAGGGGAAGAGATGGCTCAGTGGTTAAGATCACTGGCTGTTCTTGCAAAGGACTCAAGTTCTATTCCCAGCACCCACGTGGTGGCTAACAACCACCTGTAACTTCAGTTCCAGGGGATCTGATGTCCTCTTCTGACCTCCATGGCATGGCATGACACAAGTGCACTTATACACATGTAGGCAATACACTCATATACATAAAATAAAAATAATAAATAAAAAAAAATTTTTTAAGAGAAAAGGAAGGGCCGGGCGTGGTGGTGCATGGCTTTAATCCCAGCACTCGGGAGGCAGAGGCAGGCAGATCTCTGTGAGTTCAAGGCGAGCCTGGTCTACATAGTGAGTTCCAGGAGAGCTGGGGCTACAGGGAGACCCTGTCTCAAAAAGACAAAAAAAAAGAGGAAGGAAGGAAGGAAGGAAGGAAGGAAGGAAGGAAGGAAAGAAACTTGGTCTAAATTGGGTGGGAGAAATGTCTCAGCACAGATAAGGAAAGGTATTTGCTACCAAGAATGATGGATGACCTGAGTTCAATTCCCAAAACCCACATGGTGAAAGGAGAGAATCAACTCCTACAAATTGTCCTCTGACTTCCACATATGCATCGTGGCACACATGTACACATACACACGCATACACACACACATAAAAATAAATGAATAAATATAATAAAAATTCATGGAACATAATGGGTAATTAAAAATGTTCAATGCCTCCTATACCTATCCCCTACTATAATTAAAAGTGAAAATTCATCAGATGTTCCAACTTTTGCTTTAAAAAATGAGCATAGAAATACCTATTCCCTTCATCACTATTCAGGAAAGAAGCAGATGACCTTGGTTTGATTCCCAGCACCCATATGGCGGGTAGCAACCATCGGTAATTCCAGTTCCAGGAGAATCTGATGCCCTCTTCTGATCTCCACAGGCATTGCACAACATGGGTGCACTTGCATACACGCAGGCAATACACTCATAAACATAAAATTAAAAGTAAATAATTTCTTTTTTGATCTTTTTGAGACATGGTCTCCCTATAGCCCCAGCTGGCCAGAACTCACTAATAGACCTGGCTGGCCTTGAACTCACAGATATCTGCCTGCCTCTGCCTCCCAAGTGCTAGGATTAAAGGCGTGTGCCACCACGCCCGGCTCAAATAAAATATTTTTGAATAAATAAAATATAATAAAAGTCTAAGCACTCAAGAGGCAGATCTCTGTGTGATCAAGCCCAGCCCGGTCTACATAGTGAGTTCTAGGCTAAGGCTACAGAAAGACAGTGTCTCAAAATAACTAACTAAATAAGTAAGTCTAAGCCCTACAATTTTACAAAAGTCATCTCTTGAATCTGTCAAGTAGAGGAAACGGGACACAGAGATCCCCTTCAACCTTACCCCCCAGGATTCTTGAAACCAGCTGCATACTGGGACAGGTATGGGTACCCAACCCCAGCTTTGGCTGTACTATTGGCCGGCAAGCCTATCCCCAGACTCCTGCAGCCCTTGCTGTCCTCACCAAAGGTGCACTCTGAAGGCACAGCCTCGGTGCTCATTTATACAGCACTTGGCCCTCCCCTTCCCCAGTGCTGCATTTTTAGTTGATGAATAACTTCTTAACGCCTTCCAGAAGCACCCACCTAACTTCCTGGCATCTCGCTGGGGTCATCAGCCAGCAAGAACAGCAGCCAAAAGCACAGTGTGTCATGACTTTAAAACCACTGCAGGAAAAATAAAATCTGCCTTGGAGGTTTCAGACCGGACCCCAGGTCCAAAGGTCACCATTTATCACAGGAAATACAGGGTTCGCCCTGTTTTGCTTCCCCTGGATGGAGGCTCCCTCACTGTGGGGCCTAAGCACAGGAAACACGGAAGTGAAAGGACCACTGTCTCCTCAGGGGAAACACCACCAGAGCTGACACCTGGCACCGTACTACCCAGAGCACAGGACCAAGGGGCTTCCTTTCCTAGGTGCCCTGGGCCCCTTTTCCAGCAGGTCAAGTGCAGATCACATTCCATAGGGCCCCAGTACTTAGAGAAGAAAAACCAAGTATGTTAAGCAAATGTGTCCCCTCTGGGTGCTCAATCCTGGTATAGCCTCACAACAGTCACACCCATGAGAACAACAGGCGAGAGAAATGCCCATGGGCCCACAAGTTCTCATTGAATCTTTCCCAAAGTCAGTGGGGGGGGAGGGAGGTCAGGGGAGGAGACTGAGATCCTTGGGAAACAAGTTTATATAGCCAAATCCAAACTCGGACCCCAGCTCCTTAACTGCTTCACAATATTGATCTCTGAGAAACTTTAAAGGATCTTGGCATTTCCATAGCAATCCTCTCTTAACAATAAGAACCTACAGCCCACAGAGGTTCACAGCCTTACCAAGGGTCACCAACAAGAGCAGGAACCAAGGCCTGTACCCTTGGGGACTGAAAACCCTGCCATTGTTCCCAGGGCTGCAGCCTGGGCCTCACATTCCACCCAGAGGGTACCTGCTCTGTTAGCAGATATGAGAGCACATCAGTCAAAGGGACAGAGAAAATTAACCTGGTATCTTCATTCCACAGACAAACATGAACCCTTTTCCCCAGCCCTCAGCCAGCAACAGCCTGGATGGGAAATATGCCGCCTGCACTATGAGGCACTACACTGAATGAGACAGGCCCATAGACAACTGTAGTAAATCTGTCAGGTCTCCAATGTCCCAGTCAGTCTTGCCAATGCCAGGGCAACAAGTAGATAACAGGAAATGCTGGTCAGTGCCCTACAGAAGCCAGGATGAAAGGGAATGTCTGCGATCTTACTCCACACATCTTGGTCGTGAGCAGTCCACACTCAACATCCATCACTTTCCAGTTCATGTTCTTCGGCTTTGTCCGGACAGAGATCTCAGAGAAAAGTGTGGTTTGTATTTCTGTGGCTATTACAGTGGGCACTAGTTCACCCAGCCTCCCAAGTGCTCAGTGGGCCAGTGTGCTACATTCTGGGTCTCCATCCTTGGCAGCGTGGCTGGGTAGACCCAGGCCCCACTTAATGGATAATGACTAATCAAATTTTGCTTCACACCAAGTACCTCAGTGGTCTTTCACTTATGACATAAACTCTGGGCTAGTGGCTGAAGAAACTCCCCCAAGAATTCAGGTGACACTCTTTAAAAATAAAGGGGGGGGGAGGCTGCAGAGATGGTTCAGTGGGTTAAGAACACTGGCTGCTCTTGCAGAGGACCCAGGTTCAGTTCCCAGCACCCACATGGCAGCTAACCACCATCTGTAACTCCAGGTCCAGGGGAACCAAAGCCCTCTTCTGGCCTCCATGGGAACCAGGCATACACATTTAAAACACCAAGTTATAGAAATTAGTCACCTCCCACTGCCACACAAATCCCAAAACCAAGTCTGAAAAACAAGTGGCCAAGGGGGGACAAAACCTGGGAAATGAGTTCTGACCTCTGAGTCAGTCACAGCCCATCCACACCTGTGGCCTTAGGAAGATTGGAGCAGTAGAAGCTGACACCCTGCCCCAAATATCCACCATACTATGGAATGACCCTGAGTGAATTTACTCAAAACCCTTTGGAAAAGGCCATGTGTATATGAATGCTCTCCTGATACTTCCAACTTGATATACAGATTCCTGCAAGGAATTTGAGAGGGACCATATCCAAATCTTTACATCACCAGTGTCCATCACGCTTCCCAAAATGACCAGCCTCAGAACAGGTGCTGGTGGATACATCTCAAAATTAATCCCTTTAGCACTTGGAGTAGAGTCACCAAGGCTCCCTCCCAGAAATCCACATGTAACCTCCTCATCTCCCACTGGGCCTCTCAAGGGTAAAGCTATCCCAAGCTCAATTGTATTTGTATTCTAGGATATGTACATAGCACTAAAGGGGATCTGAGGAAGAATCCTAGAAGGATCAGGAAGGACTCTCTAAATCATGGGAGAGGAACCATTACATCTCTGTTAGGGTATTACCCAGCTCCTTCATAAAGCTCTCCTGACAGAACTCACTCTCTCTGGCTAGCTCAAGGCCTCCAGATGGCAAGGCCTCCCTGGGTCTATCCATGGAACCATAAAGGACATATTCCATCCTGAATGTGAAACATGACCACCTGCCTGTAATCACCTCCACTGTCCCTCCAGATCCTGAGGCATCCCACACCCTGCTCATCACTGGGGTAACATCTCTCACTGTGAATTGGATCCATGCCAGCACCGCTCAATTACCTCACAAATACTGATGCAGGTAACATTCCTAGCTTTCCTGAGAGGAGGCGTCTCATGCCTCAGGTTCATGCATGAGAAATGCTCTAGGAAGATAAGTACAGCTGGAGGGAGCAGAAGCCAGTGTGCCCTTGGCTCCTGCCCTGCTCAGTTGGCACAGACTCCCATGTGAAGTCCAGGACATTTGGAACTATTTCTGATGAATGGGGCAACACTACTATATCTAGCCACACAGATCACATCAGCCTACGAGTACTGATGTGAACCCAAGTTCCATTCCAGGTCAAGTGGATCCTCAGGAAGACCCTCCCACCAGGATCAGAGGCCCACAAACAGGGCTCAAAAGATAAATGAGGAGAGCAGGCTCAAGCCAGGTGATTTCCAAATATCATCATCTTTACTTTTCCAGCAACCCCTGGGGCAGGTTATATTTTCACCAAGAACACTAATTCATTAGATGCGTAGCTTCCTCAAAGTCACACAACTTAGAAAGTGCTGGAGCTTGGACTTGAACTCCTGAGAGTCCAGTCCAGAGTTCACAGGCTGTGCCTCACCATAAACTAAGACTCAAACATCTTCCCCTGACTAGTCAGAAGCTAGTCACCCTCTTTCCACTGCAGCTGGGAACAGAAGCCCCACAGTGGGGCTCGGAACTTGTGGTCTGAGTCATTTACAAAGCTCTAAACCATCCAAGTCTACAAGTTCAAGAGTAACTGACTCAGGGCAGCCGCCTGTCCAGGGCTCCAGATTTCTTTGTCAAGCATACAGGTCTGTATATGCTAAATGTCTGTTTACTAGAGCAAAACAAAAAGCCAGTGCAGGGGCTGGATTGCTGGTACTCACTGCTCTTACAGAGGACTTGGGTTTGATTTCCAGCACCCACATGGCAGCTAACAACCATCTATAACTCCAGTTCTAGGGGTCTCTTCTGACCTCTATGGGCATTGCACAACACAGGTACACTTATACTATTCAAGCAATACACTCATACACATAAAATAAAATTTAAGAAGTTAAATTAAATTAGCCGGGTGTGGTGGGTGCACGCCTTTAATCCCAGCACTCAAGAGGCAGAGACAGGCAGATCTCTGTGAGTTCAAGGCCAGCCTGATCTACATAGTGAGTTCCAGGACAGCTGGGGCTACAGGGAGACCCTGTCTCAAAAAGACCAAAAAAAAAAGTTAAATTAAAAGGCTAATACAGGCAAACAGAATCTGTAGGAAACACATTGTTTAAGCCTCTCTGGGGCCCACAAACAATAGAAGGGAAAAGGCGGCAGAAAGCTCCACAGGACAAACTGCTCTGGAGTTCCCAAACCTACAGACCCTATTGTGTCCCAGCTGCAGGGATGAAAGCCTTCAAGAGACTGCAGATGTGTGCTAGGACTCCAGCTCCTGTTGACCAGTGCCCCAAAGAGAGTGGAGGATGTGGGTGCACACGTGTGAGCAGGGTGGGGTTTCCTGCGAACACTCCATCCCTCACCCTGGCGCCTCCCCAGGTCCCCAGTACTATCTGCCGGTGTAGCTTACGGAAGTGCCTGTCTGCCATTGGTGACTTTAGGTGGGTCTTGTTATTATTATTAACAAAGATAAGATTATGACTAATAATAACACTGGTGACGTTTCAATGCATTTCGCCTCTCCCTCAGCCTGGCACTCTTGAGGTAGGGGAGAGTTCAAATTCCACATTTGTGTTCCTCTGAAAGCCCAGCATGCCAGTTCACTCGAACACAGATGAAATTTCCAGAGCTTTCTTAAGTGCCTAAGGTAGCTATTATTCTTTGAACTAGTGTGCCAAGCACACTAGTGTTTCTAGTCTTTGAACTAGCGTGCCAAGCACACTGAGTTTGAGTTGCTGGAAGGAAGATGCCTATTGTTTTACCTACAAAAGTCATACTTACCTCTTAACCTCACACTTATCCCAAGAAACTGCTGACATCTCCTAGAAATCCAGTTTGACCAATTCACACCTCACCCAACATCTGAGGGTCTTCTGTAAAAAGGCCATGGGCAGGGTGAAGCAAGTCACACCCAGCAGTGAATGACCCAGCCTCGGGAGGGGGCAGTAAACAGCAAGCAAATTCACAAGGGAATGTACCATAACCAGCTCTATTAAGCACTGGGCAAGAAAGGAACAAGGAGCTTCACTGACAAATAAACATGGCTACTTGACACACCAGTGTAAAAGTCCCTGAAAGGGGATGCTTGTGGCAGGCAACCACTGCTGCAGGTCAGTAAGCAAACAAATGAGTTGAAGCAGAGA